AAAACATTTTTTTGATATCTTGAATAGTTTTCGAGATATAACGAAGAAAAAAAGAATTAATTTACATATAAGGGGTGGATTCATCCCTTTAAACCGTTTTTTAGCACCAACTGATAATTTCTAAATTCATCTATTTATGTGACCTCAAAGTGTACCAAGTTTCATTCAAATCAGAATTTGACACTTCGCGAGGTTTTCCTTGTTAGTTAAAAAAAAATATTAACTTACCCAATCCTGCAATAACAGTAATGTTAATTTTATATGATATTTTAAGTGCTTTAGCATCTCGTGGATTGTAAATAAAATGTATTATTTAAGTAATAAATTTAATAGATTCCTCAGAATCCCCAAGCAATTGGCCAAAAAACATTGGCAATAGCTCTCATTTTCTCTTCGGTATCATCGTATTTCTTAAACCAAGCTCGAAGGCAGAATTTTAGTGTGTAGAGTGGGGATGAATGCGAAATCGAAAATATCGTAATCATGTTCATAAATATATTCATTCAAATCGCATAGAAAGTATTTATTCAATTTTCCATGAATATGAAAAAAGTAGTATTTATACTTGTATTCATATTCGTTATTTATTCATTTATTCAAATATTGGATGTATTCATCAGACACACTAATATATTCAAAACCGGAAATTTCGAATATATTTGAGACGGCTTTGAAACATGTGTTTTTACTTCTTTTATATTCTTTTAAGAGAAATACTTTTCATAGATACTTAGAAAACTTCACCCTGAAGACAGAGGACGAGCCGATAATTAGAGTAGCTCTGTTTGGCGTGGGTCGTGCTGGGACGATACATCTAGAGAATATAATTTCTAACATACGGGTGAAACTTTTATACATCGTTGATGACGTCGAGAGCAACTGGCGAGCTTTGCAAAAATATTGGCGTCTGGACAACATTACCTTCCTAAATAGCAAGCAGTCTGACAAAGTATTCAAAGATCCCAAGTAAGTGGAAAAGCGTTGCCGACAGTAATCAAGTTAAAAGTGAAATAAATTTAATTAATAAATTTTAGAGTAAAATTAGAAGCTCAATTACAAATTAAGTATGTTATACGCATCTATATCTGGATAATATGAATTAAAAAATTTAAATAAATATATATTGCAACTTATATAAGAATAAAATTAAAATTAAAAACGGAATAAAGAGCAAACACGAGCGCTAGAGATTAATGCTAATATATGTATATTAAAGGACGATCATACATGAAGTCAAATGTCAATAAATATTTCTCTAGATAACAAATTTCGACCTTGAATAACGCGAATTATTTTCAGTGTTCAGATAAATCGCAAATTATAAAATGAAAATTGGAAATAGATATACAATATTAAATGATCTTCGCTTTTATAACTATGATTGATAAAAATTTTCTATCTCTTATATAGTCTTTTAGGCTGCGTTTCACATATGATGCGCATAATTTATCTTTTTATCCTTGTTTGTGTAAACAACAAGGATAACATGATATCATCAATTAAGCGTGAACGGAACGCAACTTTGGAGTATCTGACATTTTTCGATCGAAATTCTTCATTAAACGTTCGCTTGCGTGTTGAACAACGAATATTCAATCGATCTTTTTAATCAATAAGCTAATTAAGATGTCGCAGTACAAATTATTCTGTCATGGTTTTTGTTGAATAAAATGTCAATATGCAATATTCACTAACGGAAAATGATCAAATTTAAAAATTAAACAATGTTTTATGTTGGTAGGATTGTCCTATCTGACTGATTGATTATATTATTCAACACACAGGCAAACGCTTAATGAAGAATTGCGAAAAATATCAGATACTCCAAACGACTGTAAGAGACGGAAAATTTTCATCAATATAATTATAAAAGCGAAGATCATTTAATATATATATTGTATATATATCTATTTCCAATTTTCTATTTTATAATTTGCGATTTATCTGAACACTGAATATGACCGTTATTCACGATAAAAACATTTAATTTTAAAAATACGTATAAGTAAGGCAGATGGGAATCAGCGTGATTATTGGTACGCACTAATTTATTTCTAAAACATTTACTTTATTCAAAAATTAAACGTTTCGATTATTTTTTTAGCCATCTTCAGTGACGAATTACAATTAATTTACACTATAATATCGCTCTTAGTTTTCTATAACTCTTAGATAGCTATGGAAGGTACCTCAAACTATTTCCTCACTCACGAGAAGTTGAAGAACATACGCGTTAGAAAACTAAGAGCGAAATTATATTGTAAATTAATTGTAATTCGTCACTGAAGATGGCTAAAAAAATAGCCGAAACGTTTGACTTTTGAATAAAGTAAATGTCTTAGAAATAAATTAGTGCGTACCAATAATCACGCTGATTCCCATCTGCCTTACTTATATTCACGTATTTTTTATTTGGAGAATCTTGTTAGATTTTTATTGTTTGTAATTTTAATTTTAAATTTAATAAATTATTATTAGCATTATTATTACATCCAGCTTGACTCAACAGCTCTATTATTGATTTAATAATAATAATAATAAAAACATTTGTTATCTAAAGAAACTTTATATTTATACTTTGACATTTGACTTTATGTATGATCGTCTTTTAATAAAAAGAAAAAGAAAAAGAAAAAAACAATTGTTGAAACAATTAAATGCATTTAATTGACAATTTTCATTGGTTAAATTATATGTATATGTTTTTGAATTAAACATACATCAATAACATTAATATGATATTTTTGCGAATTAACAAGTGTTTTGCTGAATTAACAAAATATTTGTTTGACAGCCCGTGATCGCCAAGTATAATTAAATTAAGAAATATTCATTTGATTTAACACTTTTTTTCTCAGTGTATGCATATTATTGTATGTGTGTGTGTATATATATATATATA